TGGACTAAGGCATTACTTTTTGGCCACTGTGCTTATCACTTTTTTACAGCCACATGCCGTATTTAAAAGGTAGCGAAGCTAGAGCCATTAAAATCTTTTCCTGCATCTTTTAATGCGGGGCATGTTGGTTGTCTGCATTCAGTGATTGACGTCTTAGGATGAGAAGGAAACCTCTTATCTGGGAGTAGCTGTCTCTTCTCGTGAGCATTTCGTCTGGGCAGAGTAAGGCTCTGTGGCGGCAAGACAGGCTGGGCTCCTGGCTTCCATTAGACTCGGCCACACAGGTCTGGCCACATTCAGAGCAGGGAAGAAAAGAGGAGTCCTTAAGGAAGCAAGTAGAATACTACCTGGAAATTTATACTATTTGGTTACTGGGGCCATGAAAAGCCAAGTCTATGGAATTAGGTCTATTGGTATCCACATGGTATATCATAACTCATACTGAATATAAATGGAATCCCTAAAATCTTGGGGGCGACTTGGTAGGATCAGGCATTTTGTTCCTATGGAGCCTCTACTCAAGTAATTGTGCTTCTTGATCGGATCAGAGAGCTCACCTTCTTTTCTGGTCTGCGCTCTGGCTGCTCTTTGGCCTGCTGGTCAGCCCTTGCAAAGTTTACGATTAACCACCTCTAGGGTGGGCTAATTCTACCAGAAAGAGGTGCTGGCTGAAACGTTGACTTTAAGATGAAATCTTAATCCAGGCTATAGTTATCTGAAGCAGCTTTCAAAAATGACAGATACCATTTTGTGACTGCAATCATAGCTGGCTACTTACAATTAAGCCTGGGGGGTGTAACACAGCAAGCCTAAGGGGTAGTTCTCTACAGAGGTGGTTATGATTATTACTGCTCCTCTCTTTGTTTTCTCAAGAAACGTTGTCCAGAAAGCCATGCTCCTTCTAACGCTTCTAGCAGCCACATTCAGCTGCGGTCACTGAATGTGGCACATAAACACATGGCATCCTCCCCCATGCCCCACTTCCACCCCTACTCCCCACTCCTCCACCCCCACATCCCCACCCCCCCATCCCCCTCTTCCCCCGTCACCGGGCACCAAGGTGTACACCCTCATGTACTTGGGTGACTTAGCATGACAGAACTAGTAAATGATGAGAAGAATTCAGATGGGAAAAGCTACTGAATGAGATGGTATTCTTATAATTAACATGAAAACTATGACCTGAATTCTTTGAATAGGCCACCTTATCTGCCTGGTTTTGAAATGGAAACATCTTTGATGTGGAGTCTGGGTTTGAATGCTATGGGTGTTTAACATAAAAAACTGAAGTCCAAGGGCAGCAAGGGTTATCGTAATATCTAGGTAGGTGGGACGGGCTTAATTGCTTTGTAGTCGTCCATAAAAATTCCTTTCCTGCTTGAGAGAGCATTACTGGTAAATCATTCTGTCTCTTCCTCACTTATTCTCACATTCCAGTTTACTTCCTAAGTCATAAAAATAATATATGAAATCCTCACATAAACCCCAAAAGGTAGATATTATTTTTGTCCCCATTCAGAGATAAAAAATTGAAAACAAGGCCAGGTACGGTGGCTTGCGCCTGTAATCCAGCACTTTGGGAGGCTGAGGCGGTTGCATCACTTGAGATCAGGAGTCTGAGACCTGCCTGGCCAACATGGTGAAACCCCATCTCTACCAAAAAAAAAAAAAAAAAAAATTAGCTAGATATGGTGGCAGGTGCCTGAAATTCCAGCTACTCCGGAGGCTGAGGCAGGAGAATCACTTGAACCTGGGAGGCAGAGGTTGCAGTGAGCTAAGATTGGGCCACTGCACTCCAGCCTGGGCGACAGAGACCGTGTCTCTGGAAAAAAAAAAAAAATTAAATTAAAAATGAAGACGAGAACATTTCAAGGTAAGCAAAGAGCCAGCATTCCAACTCAGACAGAGTCTGGCTCAAGAGTCCATGCTCTGGTGCCCTGCATCACTCAGCTCTGCCCAGAAGCAGTGGCCTGACTCTCTCACTGCTGGAAAGTGCCCTAACGAGGCTAAAGGCAAGTACTCTTACCTGGTCAGGTCCTGGGTCTCCACACAGGTAATGTATTACCAGGCCACTCTGGTTTATTAAGTCCCTAACTTCTCTCTTCAGGGTAGTCCTACACTTTACTCATTAGCTTCCTTGTCAGGCTATTGCCCAAACTTGCTTGATGATAAGAATCAGCTGGAATAAAAATGTAGCTTCTCAAGATCCTATCTTTAGAAATTCCAATTCACTGGGTATGATGTTGTCCCAGAAATCTGTTTTCAACAAGTGACCCAGGTGATTCTTCTCATCAGTCAGGTTTGAGAAACATTGCCCTAGGAGTTTTAGCCAATGGGAACAAACATCATTGTCTTAAGCACTATGTATTACATAGTCAAAATTTCTATAGCGTTTCCATAGCTGAATTAATCCAAAGCAATCGGTACATATGGCACAAAATGGTTTTTTTTCCAGGAAGGACTAGGGGGTGGGCTGGAATGTCTTTGTGGTTTTCTTGTTTTTGAGTGATGACTGTTAGAAAGAATTCTTTAATGGCCGTGCCCTTGAGGGAGTTTTTGCATTGCTCTGGTCAGGGAACAGCCTATACCAAATAGAAAGCCACTTTATATAGTTCTTTCAAGTCCTGCCTGAGAGAATTTTTGGAGAAGAGCAAATTAAATAAAGAGGAGAAAGAAGTACACAGTTCTCATTCCTTGAAGGCCCCTAAAGCAAACTCCTTGCATAACCAAAAGAGAGACACTAGGGCTTTTCAACTTAAATGTTTATAAATCATATACAGAACGATTTAGGAGAAAATCTTATAAGGGATTAATTCAATTTACACCATCTAATCAAAGAGCAAAAATGATCTTTGACACTCAAATAATTCAAAGGCAAAACTGTTGAAACTCATGACTATCAAAACATTGTTTCAGGTTAAAAAACGGATCTGAAACGTGCCTAATCTGCTCTGACACTGTCACCACTGCTTGTCACAAATGAAGTTTCCACCTGAGGCACCACTGAAAGCCAATCTTCAGTTGCTGTATTTGTGAGTCAGTGGGGGGAAAAAATGGAAAATAAAAAGTAGAAATTAAGACTAAAAGACGGCCAAAGGAAGAGAAAGCAAACCAGTCCTTTCTGCCTGGTGGAACAACCTGCTTTTTCAGGCCTCATTTCTGACAGGGGCACTGCAAATCAGTAGCAAAGGCCAACACTCAAGTCGAAGGCACAAGACATACGTACCTCTTGGTGGGAGTGGGCACTCCAGAGGACATGTGGCTAACCACGGTGTCATTCATATTAGTCAGAGGGCGAGGAGGACTGAAAGAAAAGACATTTGCCTTATATTAATAATTACCAACTAGGGGAAACGAGGGAAACGACAATAGGCATGATAAGAGCAAAGGGACCAACGATCGTTCGCAGTAAGCACAGCGGGACCCAGGCGGAGTGCGGCAGAAATCGATACTTCAAGCCTAAGTAAATTCAGCAAGAGGTTCTCTCTCACAAAGCCACAGGGCCACTGAGCTGTGGGTACCAGGAGAAGCAACTGATCATAAACACACTACCACAGGACATAACTTCGGTGGCTTTTGCTTTGTAGTTTTAGTGCATAAGAATTTAAATTCTGCCCCTTGGTGAATTTCTCTACATTTTAGGTACAACATTACTAGGTGTCTGGCATTCATCATATATTACAAAGGTCGTAACATCGAGGTGCATGCTGTTCCTGAGATTTGGTTAGAGCTCACTGGTATCCCTCAGACTTAGTTTGTAAACTTTTAACCAAAACAAACTGTTACATACCACATTCAAAAATAAGACTCTGGAACAAACTTTGATTAATTCTCTACTAGAATCTTAACAACAAATCCAAATTTTACACCTATACCCTAATTAGAATGTTGTCTTTTATAACCCCTAATCCAAACTTAAACTTGAAGGTTAGCATTTTTGATAACTCGTCTTTAGGTGCAGGTTTTCTGGACTCAGGTCTGTCCATTTCTCCTTCTTGTGAAAGTCCTGAAGGAATGAATTCAAGCTTCTCAAAAAGGTGCCAGGTATCTTGCCTTCCAGCCATTCTTCAACCCCTCTCCCTCCCTACTAGGTTCAGCTACAAAAGGGTTCTGTCTTGCATCTGGAATCAAATGACTATTGCTAAATACTTCTCCTGGAAAATTTCTCACTTCCTCTTTTAAACTGGAAGAAGTACAGTCATGTGCTGCACAATGATGTTTAGGTCAATGACAAACCACATATATTTTTATAATAGGTTACAATATTGTATTTTTACTATACCTTTTCTATGTTTAGATATATAAATACCTCTGTGTAACAGTTGCCTCCAGTACAGGTTTGTAGCCTAGGAGGCTATATACATACACAGAGTGTACTTACACACACCTTGATGGTTGTGCCTGCTGCAAACCTAGGCTACACCATACGGCCTAGATATGCAGCAGGCGAAACCACCTTGGTTTGTGTAAGTACACTCTCTGATGTTAACACAACACAAAATTGTCTAACAAAGCATTTCTCAGAATGCATCCCCCACTGTTAAGTTATGCATGATTATACTTCTCAGATTTGTCCATCAAAAGCATAAAACTGAAGCCGAAAGTCCTTCTCTCATATTTAGGTGCTTGGGAACTAACTACCTTCTGGTTTCTCCTTTCGTTTAAGGACAGAGTCAATTATGTATAACGTTTTTGGAGAGGTTATACTTAGCAATTCTTAGTGACTATTAAGGGACCACAGTCTTTATTGTTTTGCAGGTTTCGTAGTACATTCAAATAAAAGCTCAAGGGGAAACCTTTCAGGGAGAGCCAAGGAACCCAGACGTTAAAGAAGGATCTCTTCCTCTCTCCATCCATCTCTATGCATTTTTTTTTTCTTCTTAAACCAACTGCATTTCTGTGTAGGTATTTTTAAAAATGATTTTTCCATTTAATGGAGAGGATCCGAGATGGAAAGTAATTTGCAGGGAACATATTTTGGTCTCTTGATTTTTAAGCCATAGTACTATGCTTATTGTTCTACATTCCTCCCTTTGTGACAGGCGTCTAAGTAAGACATTGAGAATTGAAATGCGCCTCTCTAGGATAGAAGTCAATTTCCAGTTATTTATCTGACTACCTGTCTTCAGACAGATATCCACTTAGGTCCCAAACTTTCAAGACTATTAATGCTAGTGGCTGTGCTGAGTTATAGTCAATTAATTGGTTGTTTTAGGTTGACTAATGATGGAAGTGAACACAGAGATTAGCTTATATTTAGTCCTATATTTATATTTTTGCCTCTGGTTCTTTTATATCAATTGCCCAACTGAAACAAGGAGACAATCCCTATGAAAGAACCAAACCCAGCACAACAGCTTTCTGGTCCTGGAAAGAGAATGGGCTTTTCTTTAATGTATTATTAGCAATCTATTTCCAAAAGAAGATAAAGACATTTTCACATTGCTTTCAGAACTAATATAGTTACCTGCTATATATATTTTTTAAATTTTTAATAAATAATAGAGACAAGGTCTCACTATGTTGCCTAGGCTGGTTTTGAACTCCTGGGTTCAAGTGATCCTCCCACCTCAACCTCCCAAAGTGCTAGGATTACAGATGTGAGCCACCATTCCCGGCCACCTGCTATATTTCAATATTAAAGATATCACTGCATTCAATTTCCTTTTTGGTATTCTCAGAGGAAAAATGAGAATAAAAAATTATAATTCCTAGAACATAAATCCATGCAATAAAATTTCATGATTTGTAACAATTTGTTCTGATACCACAAACATCTTTATAATCACCAATATCTCTTGGTATATATCATGTTCAACTATTATAGCACAAATTTCAAAGCTTCTTCTCTAATATTCAAAACCAGACAGTAATGGTTATATTATAAACTATAAATTAATCGTAACTGACCCCCAAATGTCACAGCCTTTCTGAACTCCTAACATGCTTTGCTAGAAAGATAGGCATATGTCTGCAGTTTAAAATGAAAGAAGCACTTGCAAACTTAAATGAGGTCTTTACTATAGAACCTCCACTAGAGCCACAATTCACCATGAAAGTCAACAGCTCAGATGCATTCTTAGAAGGCATAACATGGCCTGGGGAACATAGTGAGTCTCTGTCTCCACAAAAAAAAAAAAAAAAAAAAAAAATTAGCCTGCTGGCCAGGCGCAGCGGCTCATGCCTGTAATCCCAGCACTCTGGGAGGCCGAGGCGGGTGGATCACAAGGTTGGAAGTTCAAGATCAGTCTGGACAAAATGTTGAAACCCTGTCTCTACTAAAAATATAAAAAATAGCTGGGTGTGGTGGCGGGTGCCTGTAATTCCAGCTACTTGGGAGGTGGAGGCAGGAGAATCACTTGAACCCAAGAGGCGGAGGTTGCAGTGAGCCGAGATCATGCCACTGCACTCTAGCCTGGGTGGCAGAGCAAGACTCCATCTCAAAAATAAATACATAAATAAAATAAAATAAAATAAAATAAAATAAAATAAAATAAAATAAAATAAAAATTAGCCTGCTGGCTGGGCGCAGTAGCTCACGTCTGTAAAACTAGCACTTTGGGAGGCCAAGGCAGGTGGATGGCTTGAGACCAGGAATTCGAGACCAGCCTGGGCAACATAGCAAAACCCTGTCTCTACAAAAAAAATACAAAAATTAGCTGGGTGTGGTGGTGCACGCTCGCAGTCCCAGTTACTCAGGAGGCTGAGGTGGGAGGATCAACTGAGCCCAGAGAGGTTGAGGTTTCAGTGAAACTGAGATTGTGCCGCTGCACTACAGGCTGGGTGACAGAGTGAGATCCTGTCTCAAAAAATAAAAAATAAAAATCAGTCTGGCATGGTGGCACGTGCTGAAGTCCTAGCTACTCAGGAGGCAGAGGTGGGAGGATCATTTGAGCCTAGGAGGTTAAGGCTGCATTGACTATGATTGCACCACTGCACTCCAGCTTGGGCGACAGAGCAAGATCCTATCTCCCCCCCCCAAAAAAAAAGTAATACACTAAAAATGACTTCTGGCTCAAACAAACATACAAAACCTTCATTGTTCTTGTAAGACATAACTGAAAAGAGTATTTCCAGGTGTAAAGCAGACATTAATGCTACAAATTATAGAAACTTAAAAAAACAGAATTGGCACAACTTATTAGATTGGTTTTGCTGATTTTTAACATTTTAAACCAGTTGAGTACCTTGAGCACCAGATGTTCTGTATCTGTATCTTCCTTTGGTACAGATCTCAGCAAGGTATAGGCACTATTGAGTTTCATGATACCGAAATGGCCACCATCTATCACACGCTCCAGAAATGTGGGAGGTTCCTTCTTTGTTAATAAGATATACCATTTTTTCGATGGGATAGAAGCAGATGATGATATAGGTAGAAAGTATCTGGAGGTCAGTAGAGATGGTTTTTAAAAGACTTGGCAAGAATTTGGTACTTCTTAATTAAAGGGAAAGCATCACTGTTACTGCATACCTACTAATAAAAGATTACCTTTATTTCAATGACCTAACTGTATATAGATGGAGACAAATATGCAAGCAAATCATCACAATGCTATGTAATGAGTGCAGCAATGAAGTATGGTCGGCCCTCCATGTCTGTCGGTTCAACCAACTGCCGATGGAAATTATTCAGAGAAAAAGTTCCACAAAGTTCCAAAAAGTAAAACTTGAATTCACCATGTGCTGAGTACTACACTGAATCCTTGCGAAGGACGTGTGTGCAGGCATTGTGTTAGGTATTACAAGTACTCTAGAGATGACTTAGAGTATATGGGAGGATGCACATAGGTTATATGCAAACACTATAAAACTCAAGTTTTATTTCAGGGACTTGAGCATCCTTGGGTTTCCGTATCTGTGGGTGCTCCTGGAACCAACCCCCATGGATCCCGAGGGACGACTGACAGACCAAGTGCTGAGAGCCGCAGATGAAGATCAGGTACTTCTGCCTGGAGGAACAAGCGGCAAGAATCGTCACGGAAGGCCTCAGAGAGGAAGCATCATTGAGAAGAGTTTTCCAGATACAGAAAAAAAATTAAGAGAACCCCAGATAGAAATAGTATGTAAAATGGCATAGAAATCCAAAAATACATGAGAAACTGGGTCTAACTTATTTGACTAAAGGCATCTGAAAGGGAGTAGCTGGAAACACATCTAGAAAGCTAGAGGAGAGCCAGGATGTGAAAGGAGCTTGTCCTATCACAAAGTGAGAGATCTGAACTTTATATCGCAGACAGCAGGGGAAGCACTGAATGTAAGTCAAAAATCGATGTGACCATCACATCATTTTAAAAGCTCACC